GTAACAACAAGGTACTGCCCCCTGGGGCGCCTCGTCGCCATCCCCCCGTAACAACAAGGTACTGCCCCCTGGGGCGCCTCGTCGCCACCCCCCGTAACAACAAGGTACTGCCCCCTGGGGCGCCTCATCGCCCCCCCTGTAACAACAAGGTACTGCCCCCTGGGGCGCCTCATCGCCCCCCCTGGCGTGGTTGCCAGCTGTCCGCCGCCGTCTGCGCCGCTCGAGTCGCCCTGCTGGCCCGCGCTGGGAGCTCCCATGCACACCTGTTAGAGCCCGGAGCTGAGGCTGCGGCCGGTGATCTCTGGGTGTAGGCTGTGTGCAACAGTAACGCAGGGTCTCTGCGCCCCTCCCTCTGCTCCGTGGGCCGGGGGGCGAGATGGGTATGGGCCTGGCCACACTGCCCCCTGCTGCGGGGCCGCGGTCGTGCAGCCGTACCGGCGCGGTGGCCGAGAGCACGGGCTGACGCGTGTCCTCTCTCGCAGGGCCCTCACTCCGTGGGGCTCATGTGGTGGATGCTGGCCAGGGAGGTGCTGCGCATGCGTGGGACCATCTCCCGGGAGCACGCCTGGGAGGTGATGCCTGACCTGTACTTCTACCGGGACCCGGAGGAGGTGAGGGGCTGAGCCGACCTGAGCTGCAGAGTGCGTGTGTTTGGGGTTTGTGGGGGAGTGGCGAGGCCTGTGTCTCCTCTGGGAGTGTCCTGGTGCTGGGGGGGGCGGGGGGGCATAGGCGCCCCAGGGCATGGGCGTGTCAGGGCTGTAAGCGTGTCTCCCCCTGCCCCAGATCGAGAAGGAGGAGCAGGCCGCTGCAGAGAAGGCTGTGGGCAAGGAGGAGTTCCAGGGCGAGTGGACGGCGCCCGTCACCGACTTCGCGCAGCCCGAGGTGGCTGACTGGTCCGAGGGCGTGCAGGTGCCCTCTGTGCCCATCCAGCAGTTCCCTGCAGGTACGTCCGGACCGCGGGGCACCCCCACGCTGACCGCTGGAGCCCTGCGCCCCTCTGTAACACCCCTCCTCTTGTCTTTCAGGGCCCCCTGTCAAGCGCGAGCCTGGAGCCACTGAGGTGTTTGCAGGTGAGATGTCTCGGGTCGCGTCCCATACAGAGGGTGCCCCCTAAAACAGCCGGTGTCTGGGGGCTGTCCAGTCCTGGTGCTGGAGGGTCAGTGTGTCTGTGGGCTGTCCAGTCCTGGTCCTGGAGGGTCACTGTCTTGGTTGTCCAGGTATATATGGAGGTACTTGATGTTTCTACCCTCAGTTCTAACTCCTTCCCTCCTTCCGCTGGTTTGCAGAGGACTGGAGTGCCCAGCCGGCCACAGAGGACTGGTCAGCTGCCCCCACTGCCCAGGCGTCTGACTGGGGCGGGGCTACCGCTGATTGGTCCTGAGTGCCACCTGTCGCAGCAGCAATTTTTTCTCAACAAACTCAATAAAGTTTGCTGTTTCTTACGAAGCCTGTCCTGTCTGGTCTGTCTGTAGTGAGGTTACATCCCAGCAGCCTTGGGTGCAACTCTGGTGCTATACAAGACACCACCACCACAGTGATGCTGCCTCCTGCCTGCAGGCTGCAGTACTGCACCCAAGCCCAGCAGTATGAATTCTGGGGGGTGAAACGGTCTCCAAGGGCTCCAGTGTTCTTAGTGTTTCTGAAGAGCAGCTCGACCTGGAGGTGTTTCTGCGGGTGGAGAGGATGTGTTAGTCACAGTGGAGGCTCAGAACAGACTGGCAGTGTCTGCTGGTAGATTAATCCGCCCCCACACAGCCTTCATGAAAGTGGGACGATAAGATATAACTTTGTCCATCCAAAAGGGTGAATATTTATCTTAAGCATTGACATATGACACAGCAAAAAGATGCATTAAGCCAAGAAACGGTTCTGGACCTGCAGAAAATCTTGCCTGGTGCATGTTACACAAATGATCCTGTGTGCAGTGATCTGATTAACATCCTGACTGCACAGGGAGCAAAGGGTTTCTTGCAGACATGTTTCTTGGCCTCTGGCTTTTTGAACTGGCAGTGGGACTGAAGAGGGAGGGAGTCCTCAGCAATCAGCTGAGCTTTCGTTTGAACTTCAGTATAATGCAGCTCTTTCAGCTGTCTCTGAGGCTGACCAGTTATTTCACCAGCAAGATTAACAATCCTGGCCCATTTCCCTTTACTCTTAATGCTCAGGCTAATATACCACTCCATGAGACTTTTTGCTAACATCCTGTAAACCCTTTTAAACTGACTCTCCAAACACTTTCAGCTTCCTGATTAACAACATGCACTGACTAGCCTTAAAAATACAGTTGATATTCTCTAAAGTTCAAATGTTCATCTAATACTATTCCTATCTGTAACAATTTCCAATCTCCACAGGAGGATAGGGCAGAAAGGTTTAAGTGCTTATGTATTACTGTAGCCAGTGTTCAGTAGTAAGGAGCCAGTTCTTTGTACATTTCATATGTTAATATGAAGCATCCTTGACTGTGACAACACATTTCCAGTTTTCTTTATTCAGAGTAAGTCGTCAGCCCTTCTCTATCATCCCAGTGAACAGTCCTACCAGGGCCAGATCACCTGCGAACTGCCATAGATTAACAGAATTTCCCTGCTTTTTCATTTCATTGGTATAGCTGGAACACAGTAAAAGTAACAAAACACAGATGACTTTGCCTGTTGCCGACTAGCTACTAAATTCACTGAAAACACTACATCTTCAGTCCCCCTGTGTTCTTTCTAAGCAATTGTCAAGGAATCTAGATGTTCTGCAATCAAGGGATTTTTTTAAATAACCCTCTCTGTGCACTTAGCAAAGGTCAAAGGTCACTTTGCCTTGCCTCAGGTTTTCTGCATACAGCTGTAACAGTGGAGACTTTCCATATATTTGGACCAATCCAGAAATTCAGCAGTGGGTCAAGAACTGTTGGAGATCCCCTAGATGAGCACCTTTCCCTGCAAACCATCTGGGTCAGAGGCCTTGTGCGGCTTCAGCTGTAGACATGAACCCCATTAATTCATGACATTTATCTCTAAAATCCACACTGTCAGACTGTCCCACGCTTGGTTAGGATTTCTTGCACAGAAACTATTCTCCTTAAAAATCCCTTTTTCCTTCCTCGTTTTTGACCTAAACTCCTAGTCTTTCTGCTTGCAGCTGCAGTTTCTCCCTTTAGAAAAGTGACTTTTCACTCAAAGACACTTTTAAACCCTTAGACATCCAAGCTTTATCGCTGGCCACTACTTTAACAGTCCTGGCAGTAGGGACAGTGCTTGCGCAGATCTGGATGTGTCGTCTGCCCGTGTCGGAGAACAGCTGCCTCTCTGCGTACCTGTGCGGACAGGACCAGGAGGCGGCGAGAAACGTGATTTCCCAGAGTTCCCTGGCGGTGGACGGCTCGAGGACGATGCGCGAGACGCTCATGCCTGGCTAACCAGAACTAGCGCAACGGGTTCTCCCAGTTCCCCAGGGCTGCTGACTCAGATACATTCCGAACACCTCCTTATCCCCAGGGGCAGATACATTCCACAACAAAATGAAAACTTGGGATCACATTTCCGATAAAATAAAAACAGCGAAAGATCCACGAATGTAACAGTGCCTGTGCATCGTAAGGGCTGTCCTATACCACCAAATAATCAGCTTTTTAAGGAAGTATACAGACACAAGTATACAAGTATACAGAGTATACAGATACAAGTATACAAGTATACAGATACAAGTATACAGACACAAGTATACGAGTATACAGATACAAGTATACAAGTATACAGATACAAGTATACGAGTATACAGATACAAGTATACAGATACAAACATAGATAATACTTTATTAATCCCGTAGGGAAATTGATGAAGACCCGAACATTCCTTTATTCCACTATCCATTGAAGCTGTCGACGCAAATGTCAAACACAATTTTGACTCTTACAACCCACTTGAGTGCGATATGTTTTGTGATGTGTTACACGTGTTACAAGTGTTACACGTTGGTATGTGTTATTTGTGCAATAGTGATGTTTTTTACTTTTTTTCTTTTGTTTGCATTCTATTTAAATGTACAGGAGTGCTGTGTGTCCATAAAACATTTCCCTCAGGGCAGGAATGACAACACAGTCTTACTATCTGGTCTGATTGAGAACGCGTACTGTCCAGGAGAGCCGGGCCGCTGCTCCTCTGTGTCGCGCTGTGGCAGACTGAGGGAAGAGACGGTCTCCAGTGATACACGATTCGCCCTCAGGGCCTGCTGGAGGCTGGCAGGCTCCCCAGTGATTTTACAGCTGAGCCCCACAACATTCTCCTTTTCTCCTTGTCTTTCTAACTGGGAGATAAAGGAAAAAGTCTGGATACTTTCGATAAGAATTCTGTTTTGGACTCTGAATGAACTTGGTCGTCTCAGGCGCTGCTGGGATTCCTGTACAGTAACATCACGCTCTCAGCCCAGGGGATGTAACTGCGGACTGTTCCAACAGGCTCGGCGTGGATTCCTGGGGGAGTGATATTGCTTCGTCCTTTTAAACGCACACTCGTTTCTTCTGTTTCCTGCACAGTCATCTCTAGGTCGGACGTGTCGCAGCTGTTGACAGAATCATGCAGGGCAGGTCCCTGTGCCTCTCCAGGCTTGAGAGCGGAGCGACTAACACCCCGTCGTCAGGGCGATACCATGATGATAAAGAGGAGGGGAGAAAGAGCGCAGCCTAGCTGTCAGCCCGCTGAAGTACAAGCAGGGACAGATGCCAGCCCAGTAATTAACACACTCTTTGTCAGAAGACTAATGATCCACGTGACAAGCTGATGCTCTAATTTGAAACGAGTGTTAAGTTTGTCGACCAGTGTGAAGACTGAGCGTGTCCGCATTCTCAATGCTCGCGAGCTGCGCACCTTTGCGCAGGTATGTCCTCCACCCGCGGCTCCTGCAGCGAGGAATACCGCAGATTCCCTGCGAGCCCGGCCCTGAGGAGTGTACCCGAGTGGGCGCACCCGGGTCCACAGCCGAGTGAGTGACGGGAGGAGGAGGGTGCGGGACACACCCACGCACACGCAGCGAGGACAAGAGGCGAGCGCCGAGCGCGGCGGACAGACGGCGAGGACAGTGCTGCCGACCTGTCGCGATGTCCAGCGGTCGCGCTCCCGGTGAGTGTCCGGTGTCCGGTGCTCCTGTAGCCGAGTTCGTCCCGTCAGCAGACACAGGGGTGGGGTTGCCAGTGTTTCTCCGGGGAGAGCAAGGCGCTGTATCCGAGACTAACCGCTTGCCGCCTGTCTGCCAGTCCGGCTTCTTCTGCTCACGAACCGAACCGGAATGAAAGAAACTCGTCTCTTCTGACCGGGAAACCGCCTGTTCGCCAGTCGTGGGTCCGCTTTCGCTCTGATGAACTGCTACTACTGTGCAGGACAGGGTGTTCAGGCAGAACATTCCAGGCTGTTTGGGTCGGAACACTAGAGGCTGTTCAGGCAGAACACTACAGGCTGTTTGGGTCGGAACATAGCAGGTATTTGGGTCAGAAAACTACAGGCTGTTTGGGCGATCGGATGTTTCTTCTCCAAATATCAAATTAAAACTTTCGATTTCGTTACAGTGTAGTCTCTCACAGAGAGATGAGTTCACGTAGGTTCCTTACAGTCCCGTCTATCACAAAGAGACGACAGTCTGGGATTCAGGAACGCTGTGTTTGTGGGTGTTTCCGATTGTGCTGTTTGGTATTAGTTTCTACTTCCGAGAACACGGGTTGCTTTTCAGTAAATCACCTTCCGGACAGCTGATGCCTCAGGCAGGGCTGACAATCTGGATAATCATGTCTGTCTGGTCTCATC